TTTCTTTTTCATGTTTATCTTTAACTTCAGCAATTTCTTTTTCGTGTTTATCTTTAACTTCAGAAATTTCTGTTTCGTATTTATCTTTAAATTCAGCAATTTCTTTTGCGTGTTTATCATTAACTTGATCGATAACTTTAGTGTGCTCATCTTTAACTTGATCGAGAATTTTGGCGTGCTCTTCACGTGAAATTTTCTCATTATTTCCTTCTTGGAATTTTGCAAGATCCTAGCATGCATGCAATTATTTAAATTCAAATGCCATATAAATAGAAGTATTGAAATAAAATAACAACATACCTCCTTCAAACCTTCAATTTCTTTTTTAAGATCCTCTATCTCCTTTTCTTTTGATAATATGGCTTCATCCTTTTCTTTTTGAATTTTTTGAGTTTCCTCTTCATGAGCTTTTTTCAATTCTTCCAAATTGTGTGCATCTCGCTCAACAGACTCATTAATCTCATTTTTTTTTCGCTAGTTGAGCTTTTAGTTCTTCCAATTCGTCTTGACAAGATTTCAATATCTTATCTTTTTCTTCAATTAATTTTGTGAGCTCTTCATTCTGATAAGAAATAAAAAGTGAAAATTAATTAATTAAAACATAGTCAAATATCATAAATATATATCAATCATCAAACCAACCTTTTCTTTGTAGCTATTGTCTGCGGCCGAACCAGTACTTTTAGATGCTGTATGATTGGCCGATGGAGCAACTTTATTCTTTGAAGCGGGAGTGGAACCATTAGCTACTTTGGCAGGAGAGGTAGTAGGAACGGTAGTACCAGCAGCGGGTATTTTTTTTGGAGCGGTAACGGTAGTAGCTTTCCGAATAGGGGTTTTCGGGGATGTAACATTTGCTTTTGCCGCAGTAGTGGCGGCAGTGGTAGTAGTAGGTGTTTTAACAGCAGCAGTTTTTTGAGCAGCGTTCTTCGCTGGAACGTTAGCACCAGACTTAGACGAAGTACTTGGCGCTTTCAATACAGTAGGACTACTTGGTTGTTTTGCAGTGATCGGGGCCCTTGTCGCGCTGGAAGTACTAGGGGTACGTGTTGCCGAAGGTTTTGATACCGTAGAAGGGTTTGATTTACTAACTGATGGACTGCGTGCACGAGGTTTGGCACTAGTCGAATTTGCAGTAGGTGTTTTCTTAATTGTACCAGGTTTAGATGCTGACACAGCAGTTTTGACTGTTTTGTTACCAGTCGTAGCTATTTTAGAGCTCGCAACTTTTTTATCAGATTTATCTTTTTCATCTACGGGACTTTTTGGAGGGGTCAATGGATCAGCTGTTTGATCCGAACCATTCGAACCTTTCGTATCCTTGTTCGACTTTGAATCATATTCTTCAGGATGGTCAACGAGCTGATTTTCCGCTAGTAAGGTATGTTCAGTATGCTTTTCTGCGTGTTCATTAACATTCTCAGATTTTTCCGCAGTCTTTTCAGCATCAGCATGTTCATTATTGTCCGAAGTTACACCAGTGAGGGACTTCTTTTCCTTTTCATTAACAGCCTCATCCACTTCATCCACCTTCAATTGTACAACCTCAACAGTAGTAGTAGTTTCAGTGTATTCAACAACCTCGGTTTCTTCCGAATGATTCGGCATAGATTGCACAGCAGTGGCCATTACTCAGTTTATTTTCTAAGAAGAACAAGAAGAAATAAAGTTGTAATGTCTCAAATAAGTACAAAAGTATAGAGAAAGCGCGTTTTCATGGAAGGAAATACAACGGTTTTAAAAAGAACCAATAATAATAGAATAATAATAAATACTACATGCAGTGCTTTTATGCACAAGTCAGCACCACAGTTGTCAAAGTAGTAATGCAAATACTTTTGCAGATGGAAAAAAAACGCGACGTATTTCTTGATTGAAAGAATACAAATACTTACAGATTATAAGAATTGCTAAAAATTCGTAATAATGGATATTATTGAACAGTATGAATATGTCCAAGACAAGTATTAATTGTATGAAAATTGGAAAATTTTCGTTCTTCCTTTTAGTTGTTGCTTCCAAACGAAGCACAAGTAAAAAAGAACAAACAAAAAAATTAAGTGGCTATTGTTAAAATATAATGAATAATGATCAGCATTATAATAGATATACAATAGGGTTACTGGACTATAAAATAATAAAAATATATATATACATATTATATAAATAAAATAAGAAATTTTAATTGAAAATTATTGAAATAATTGAAAATTAAACATTGTACAATAATAAACATCGCTTAAAAAGTTGATGCTAAGCTCATATTAAAAGGTAGATTATACAGATATTACTTTGCATAAATTCTATTTAACATCTTATCAACAGATATTTTGCTTTTGATGGAAGTAAATTTTACCGCGTGACAGATGAGAAAGTGTGCATCATCCTTTACTTAATTCTTTCTTGTCAATCTCAATTTTGTATCGCACAGATGATACGGAACAAACTTTAACGCATAAACTACAATTACCCGATCCGGTGAATTCTTACGGTGATAACCTAAATCTTTCCTTGTCTCCGTATCTGCGAAAGGAACCAAAAAATCTATAACGGCGTAACCAACGATGCAGGATTTTGTATTTTTTTGATAATTAAAAGCTCGTTAAATCTCTTGCGGTATGTTCCATTGGGTAATTTCATTTTATATCGAATAAGTTACATCTTTGTATTAATAATATAGATATAAAAGGATACCGATCTTAGCTTAGCGCCTAAATTTCGTGCAGAAACGTACTGCACAATCCTACTTTTAGCATTTTAATCCTGGGTATTTTCGTACACTTGACTAAAATTATAATAAACAGACACAAATAAGGGCAGGTTTGTTGATGCACTTTTTACAATGTAGTTATTGTGTCAATATTTACATTCACTGGTGGCTCGATTGGTACCTACATGACATATCAGATATGTTTTTTTTAAAAGACTCTCCTAGTTTCAGATGTAACCTTGCGTAACCCGGAGACATGACTTCTACATTTATTTGTCGGTTTACGCACGTACGTACGTACATATATCGATAACCGATTTTTTTTTTTCACCAAATAAACATGCGTCTCTGCCTATATATATATGGATTTATAAAGTCTTTATTAGGTTTAGTAAGTATTGGATATAATCATTATCAATATCATCGTCGTTATATTTTTACGTATTATACGTACGCATAAGAATCTAATTAGATTAATTGATTAACAACGTTTAACTGTTAACGTTAATTAAATCTATCGATTTAGCGGAACGTTAACACTAGCGCTAAGGGCTTTTAGAAATCAGATGATCACTATCTTATTAGGGAATAGTTTAGGTACATGTTTATGTTATTTCGTCATATTTTATATGCACACAAAAGTTATTCGATTACTTTGTACGTAATTATGTAATACATTATGCTGATACTGTTTACAAACTTTAATATAAGATAAAAACGACATATATATTATCGATCGCTAAATACTGTTTTGTTGTATATTAGATTATGTTTTAAAAACTAATATTTAAGCTATCTTATACAAGTTACTCATAATTTACTCAGTTCGCGATCACATGATAAATATCATATTCAGGTTGATTCGGAATTTTTAAGGTTAGAGTTGGGATTTTTAATTATTCTGTTCTATTCCGAACCTCTTGTGACTCCAATCCCACTTACAACATCTATATTCTAATCAATAAAGTAAATGCTGTAATTGCTCTGTAAAAGCAAACAAATATTAAAATAAAAGCCATCGATCTTAAAATTTCAAGTTAAATAGCAATAAAAAATATATAGACTATATATATATTTTGTTTTTTATACATAACATTAATGCTTATTTAGAAATAATTTATTATTTTCGAGATGACATGAATGAATTTTGCTAATGTATTAAAAATTATTGTCGGGGATGATGCTGAAATTGAAATTTAGAGTCCCCATTTAAATCTATAATACCTACTAAAATTCACATATACATTTTTACTAACAACGCTAGCCCTAAACCCTAACCTAACCCTAAAAAAAACCCTAAAAAAAAGGCCCAAAAATTTTTTAAAATTTCATAATAAAATAGTTCAAAATTTCAGCATCATCCGATTTTAGCATCATCCCCGACAAAAATTATTATCATTTGCTATTTTTTTTTCTTGTTATTACTATTTTAATTTTTATTTAATAATATATACTATACAGAAACTTAAATTTCTTAATGCATAGTAACTGTATAATAACTATGTAATTACTATTAAATTTAATAGTAACTATGTGATTACTACATCGTTACTATACAGTTACTGTATATTAAAATA